CGCCGAGCTCGCCGTAGAACGCGATGCGACCTCCTTTTTGCAGCAAGAGAAGCGAGTCAAAGAGCTCGAAGATCTGGATACTGGGCTGATGGATCGTGCAAATGACCGTGCGGCCCGTGCGTGCGATCGACTGGACACCGCGCATGACAAACTGCGCTGAGCGAGCGTCCAACCCCGAGGTAGGTTCGTCCAAAAACAAGATGCTCGGGTTGGCGACGACCTCGACACCGATCGTGACGCGCTTCTTCTGTTCGACGCTGAGGTTCAGAACGCGTTCGTGGGCGATCTTGTCGAGCTCGAGGAGCGTCAATGTCTCGCGCACCAAGCTGAGCTTGGCATCCAACTCGAACGTCTGCGGCAGCCGCAGAAACGCTGAAAACTCGAGCGCCTCGCGGATCGTCGACTTCTCCGAGTGGATGTCCATCTGCTCGCAGTAGCTGGCGATGCAGCTAAAGGTCGCGGGGTTCTTTGGCTCGCCGTTGATGAAGACGTCGCCGGCGATGCGGCCACCAGTCTTGCGACCCGCGAGAACATCCATGAAGGTCGTCTTGCCCGCGCCGGACGACCCCATGAGCGCGGTCATCGTGCCCGGCTCAAACGACGCCGTGATGTGCTGCAGTAGCTGTCGCTCGTCGCCCGACGGCATCTTCACAAAGTAGTCCAAGTCGCGGACGGCAATGCGCGCGGGATAGAACGGGAGCTGCGTCGGCGTGGTGTCGATCGTGAGCGCGGTCGCCGAGCCGGCTTTGGGCACCATGGGGGGCGCCGTCCCGCGCACTTGCGTATCAAACCGAATAAAGTGCAGCGCGAGGGCGTTCAGCGTCGTAAAAAACAGGTAGTAGCCAAAGAGAAGGAGGAGGCCGTACCCAATGTACGCGTTGTCTTGGTGGATCTCAAACATGTCGAGGTTGTCAGCGCGTTCGTCCGGCGAGTAGCGTGTGCTGCTGTACTCGTTGAGCATGATGGAGCGGAGCGCCCACGTGAGCGGGTTGCACCAGTACATCCAGCGCCAATAAGTTGGAATGAGATCGTAGAGCACAATGTTGCCCGAAAAAAGAACGAAAAACACTATCGAGCAGGCGGCGAACGACTGCGCAATGGAGATCGTCGGCGCGATCGAGCTCAGGAGCGTGAAGTACGCCGCAATGACGTGCTGGAAGATCACGAGGATCGCGAGGTACGTGAAGTACACGGACGTCTCGTGCGCCAGGCCGCTCATAAAGTAAAAGATGGTGCCGAGGACGACCGCGACGACGAGGTTGATGGGGATCTGGACGACGGCCTCGGCGATCGCATACGACGACGTTCGGAAGAAATTGCGCGACCGCTGCTTGTAAAACACGTTGCGCACGGCGAGCGAGATCGTAATGCGCTGCCACGCGTGGCGCTACAACCTCAGATCAGAACGGATGGAACAATGAAAAATGAAAAATAAAAATGAAAATTGAAACATGAAAACTACCAGAAAAATGGCAATCGTGAAGAAAAGCATGCGCAGATACAAGGACGCGTCGCAGTTGAGGTAGATGATGCCGAGGAGCAAGCCCTCGACGCACGACTCGATAAACTTGCCGTAGAGCAGCTCCTTGTCGCGGATCCAAAAGACCACTTGGCGCGCCATGAGCAGCTTGGTGCTGTCCCAGAACGCGAGGCTAAACCGCGTCGTTCGGCGCGCTAGAAACGCGAGGCGCTTGACGCTCGTCACGTCGTACTGCAGGCTGCTGTTCTTGAGCCACATGCGCACCGCCGCGTGCATCGGCGACGCTGCGAACGCCTCCCCGAACGCCTCGGACGTCGTCGGCGCCGGTGTCGGGTGCTCTAGTATAAAAATCATTTGTTTTTATTTTTTGAAGTATCAAGTTGATACCAGGGTTGAAGTACTTGGTACCGCTGCCCGCGACGACTTCCAGCATGAAGATGGACGGGTCGGTGCGCGCTGGGCACACAAACCCGAGCGACTGAAAGTACGGCATTGTCGACGTCCGCGGACCGTGGTACACCTACCACATGTCGTCATCAGATGTGATGTTGTGCCAGATGTCGACGCCAGATGGTATCTGGTATCTGGATCAAATGAATGATATGGGTGGACCGTACCAGGTGTCCGTCCGAGAGCATCAAGATGTCGTCAAAAAGCTCGACGACCTCGGGGGGTGGCTGCAGCAGGGCCACAATGCAGCTGCCGCCCAATGACTTGGTCCACGTTCTGAGTGCGTTGACAATGTCAAAGGTGGCCGCCGAGTCGAGGCCCGTGCTGATCTCGTCGCAGAGGAAAATGCTTTGCCCGCCGACGAGCATCTCACCCACAGTCACGCGCTTGCGCTCCCCGCCGCTCACACCCCGCAGCATGTCGTCGCCGACGATCTACAGAATCGAGTTCACTGAAACGACGAGCGCATATCGCAGGACCTACCGTGTCGGCGCAGTTGGAGAGACCGAGGATGTGCAGGTAGAGGTCCGTGCGCAGATTCGCCACGTCGGCCATTTTTTCCTCGGCCTTGGTCGGAGACTGCGACCCCGACTTCTTTTTTGGGCGGCCGTTGAGGCAAAGGTCCGCAAACTTGAGTGTCTCGCGCACCGTCATGGTCGCGATGTGGTTGTCGCGCTGGTCGACGAGCCCAAGGAGCTTGCGGAGGTCGATCTGGTCGCACGTCAGGCCGCTGTAGGTCACGCTGCCGCCGATGTTTGTGTTTTTGGTTGGGAGTTTGTTGGCGAGCGCCTTGAGGAACGAAGTCTTGCCCGAGCCCGGACTCGCCAGCAGCTATGCAACGCCATCAGAAGGTAGTTTCCGATACCGTATAAGATCGTACCAAGGTCATGCTGCCCGGTGGAATGACGCCCGACATCGGGTGCAGCACTGTCTTCTCGACGCTTGGCGGCTTGCAGCAGAATGGGAAGAAGAGCTGCCGGAGGTAGCTGCCAACCGTGCCAGACGCAAGCGAGTTGGCACTCGACTGCGCCGAGAACGCGAGGTTCGTGAACCGAATTTCGGGCGTCTGGAGCTGCAAGTTGGTCGTCTCGGCGAGCTTGTTGTACTTTTCAAAAAACTTTTTGAGGCCGCCGCTCAGCATCGTGTCGATGCTCGCAGCGTTGAGCGAGCTCGTGAGCACTGAGTGGCACGCCGAGTACGGGTCTTGGAGCCCCTTGAAGTTCATGTCGGTGCGCACGCGCGGGATTGTGCCGTTGATCGCAGGTATTTCGGGCAAGGCGGCAAAGGACGCGCGCCGCACGCAGACGGGCAGGACCTCGGCCTTCTTGGCCTTGGCGCCGACCTCGACGTTGTCCATTCCCTGGCAAAAAACGCGCAATGGCTGCTCAACCGATATCTATTCAAAGACGTGCGAGCTAAATACGTAGAAGCATTTTCAACTATTTTGGGCCAGGTTTGGGTCCAGTGCAAATTGGCCGCGTTCGAGTACTGCAGTACTTTTGAATGGCATCAATGCAAGCTGTGCTAAAAGGTCAAGGGGGGGCTCGCGTCCGAAGAAGGCGGTGTTCCCAATCACCGGCTACAAGGGACCCGACAGAACGAATTGGAGCAGCCGTCTTTAGGGACTGCCGCCATAGACCCGCACCATTCTACCACACAGAGCCGGGCAGACACAAGAAACACACATCGATTTATGGTGTTGAAATGGGCACAAGCAGCGTTTGGTGCGTCGGACCTTGAACGTCCGCTCCGTGGTTTCTAACGGCTGACGGCCTTTGCGGGTGGACTCGGATGCGGCCGGTTGAGGCGTCGGTTTGGACCGCACCATAGTTGTCAGTTGGCCGGTTTGGACATAGTTGTTAGTTGCACGGAGCTACAAGCACGGAGTCAACCCGCGCATCTTGGACACCCCATCAGAGGAGAAACTTGCTGGACTCTAGGTGCAAACACGAGTTGAACTTCATCGATCTATCGCCGAGCGTGCATATGAGGTAAGTCGAGAGGGAAGAAACAAACGAGAAAGCACTAGCGGTCGCAATCGAAGTGCAAACGTTTCGCTACCTCAACCGTCCTTGAGGCTGAGGTTGACTCGCTAAACGGGCTACCCCGCACACTTCTCTCATCCCATGCACTGTACTGGGAGTCAACCCGCGTCACCAACACCGATAACAAAGCGTCATGACAAACAAGTAATGCCGATCCCTCCATGGCGTCGTCGTTGCTAACGTCGGCGGCGATGATCATGAGGTGATGACGATGTTGACGCTTGTGTTATAACTTAGGCTCGGCTCGACCGCGTGCCATGGCCACGACGAAAGCTCCGTCCTCGCATAAGCCTGAAAACCACGGATCGGACCCGGCCCAAGAAGAAAACAAGTCGGTTTTTGTAGTCGCTAGGTGGCGTTGAAAAATAGACTTGCGTTCACTATGCGCTTATGCTAGGGCCACCTTGCATGCGCGGTGTTTTCTGAGTTTCGAGCTTCTGATTCAGCACTTCAACAAGTGACCTTGCGACCGTAGTACCAACGTGGCACGGCTCCACACTCAGACGAGCTGTTTTGGCATCGCTTTGGTTTACGGTACGCTCGACGTATCGTGCGACGACACGATCTCTCACAAGCGGTACGAGCCAATTTTACCTCGTCGGCTGGGGAGAAATGCCTGACGCGAAGCCCCAGTGCCACGTGAGGCGAAGGCTTTTACTGGAGATACATGTCCGTGAAGGAGCTCGAGGACTCCCATTCTGGCTCTAATGGCATTCCTCCGTGTATTGCAGATGTTTACGGATCTGAAAACTAACACAACCATTCGAATCATTACCACACTGTGATAGAAAAACCCCATGGTTGCGTTAGTTTTTGCGAACGGCGGCACCAGATGTCGTCTGGTCAACTGAAAAAGCACCTCCTGCCCCGCGTCTATCCGCGTGCCCACACACGACAGTACGGATCGTAGTTTTGCATGCCGATCTACTTGCTTCTGGCGCATTCCAGTACATGACGCACATCCCAGGCTCGAAATGCACTGACGACATCGGTTGCCGCCGGCGTAGCACTTCGTAGTGTCATCCAAGTAGTGATCCACCAGCTGTCGCGTTGGGCTTCGTGAAACGAGCGGCTGACGTTGCACTCGGCGTCCACTTAGAAAGGGTGACGATTACGAAGTTCCAGGTCCTTTCTGCGGAAGGTGAACTTCAATCTAAGTTAATTTCGTGCTCGATTCGCCTTCTCACTTTTTGATTTGCCTCCAAGACCAACAAGATGGCCACGACTCAAAAAGAGCTCGGACAAATGGACCTCCAGGAGCGCGTCTCCTACATCCAGTCCGCGACCAAGGACAAGGATGCCGATGGTGACTACACTGACGCCAAGACGCCCGGTGAGCTCGAAGACGGCGCACTCGTTGCTGGTGGTGCGCTCTCGCTCGTCTCTCGTGAGGCCCTCGCGCTCTTCTCGCAGTACTTTGCCATCGGTATCCTCTACGGCATGTTGCCCGGCATGCAGTACTCGGTGTTCCAGAACTACTTGAAGATGGAAGGCTACCAAGTGTCGGCCTACGGTGTCCTCGTCGTGCTCGGCTGGTCGTTCAAGGTCTTCTTTGGTATGCTCTCGGACTGCGTCCCGATCATGGGTTACCGCCGCAAGCCGTGGATGCTCATCGGCTGGATGATCGCCACGATCTGCCTCTGCGTCATGACGTTCTCGTCGTTCCCGGACCCGTACTGCGATGCGCGCAAGATCCCCTGCCCGAAGAAGGTGCCGACCGGCGCCAACATGACGGCGGCCCTCAAGCAGTGGTACAACTTTGACGCGCCGGACCAGGGTGGCAAGTTTGTCATGCTCTCGGTCATTGTCAGCTTTGGCTACGTCATGGCCGACTGCGCCGCCGACGCCATGGTCGTCCAGTACGCCCAGCGTGAGCCCGTGGCCATTCGCGGCCGCACCCAGACCGCCATCTACACGCTCCGCTACATTGGCTCGACGGTCGCCCAGGTGTGCATTGCCTTTCTTCTCAACGGCGCTGAGTACGGCGGCTCGTTCAGCTACTCGGTGTCGCCCAACGTCATTTACGCCATTTGCCTCGTGCCGTGTGCTCTCATCATGTTCAGCACGCTCTTCCTTCTCGTTGAAGTCAAGACCGAGCGCACGCCGTTCGGTGCCTACATCTCCAACTTCTGGGGTCTTCTCCAGAAGCGCGTCATGTGGCAGATCTGCGCCTTCAAGTTCATCAACCAGGTCTTTGCCGGTATCAGCGCCACCCCGGGCAGTCCGATGGCTTCGGTCTGGGCTGAAGTCGAGCCGCTCAACGATGCGCTCTCGGGTGTCTTGAGCTACCTCATCATGACGCTTGTCATGGCGGCTGTCGGCAAGTGGGGTCTCCACTGGAACTGGCGCTGGGTCATCGCTCTCGGCACGGTCGGTATCATCCTTATCGACGGCATTGTCATTTTTGTCACGATCTGGGATGTTTTCCGCAACCAGTGGTTCTTCACGGGCGTCCCGCTTGCCGACAATGTCCCCGCCGGTATCCGCTTCATCGTCGCCACGTACTGCGCTGTCGAGATTGCTGACGTCGGTAACGAGGGCGCCACCTACGGCCTTGTGTCGACGATCTCCAACTTGGCGTCGCCGTTCGCGTCGGTGATCTACAAGCTCATCGACTCGTACTTTGACGTGTCCATGGACCAGATGGCGGTTGATGACAACCATGTCCGCTGGGAGGTCACGTACTGCTACTTCATCTCGTATGCGTGCAAGCTTGCGGCGCTTGGCTGGCTCTTCCTCCTCCCGCCGCAGAAGGAAGCCATGCAGGCGCTCAAGAAGCGTGGCCAGACAAGCAAGCTCGCGGGCGCGCTCTTGGTCATTATCTTCTTCCTCGCGCTCACGTTCTCGGTGACGACCAACTTTTTGTCCGTGTACCCGTCGACCAAGTGCCTCCGCGTCGCTGGCGGCAAGGGCCGCAAGAACGGCACGTGCATCGTCAAGAAGTAAATTGACTAGCGTCTCGCTGCCCCTTATGTACTAATGTCGTGTTTTCTCTATAAACGGTTGCTGTGTTTCGGTAGCAATTGATCACCGCGTTGGACACACCGCTCTATCCCGTGATACCGCGCTGCAGCACGAAACTGAACCTAGGTCGACAGCTATGAGAGCGCCTGGTCCTAGGCGGTCAGGTATTAGGCAGCGTCTCCCCAGAGAACGGATACAGTAGTCTAATTGCCCCTGTGACAGACGTATATGATTGGCTTAGAAATACGTGCACCTGATTGGCCAGCTACTAAGAATGTTCTATTAAGTACGCTTTCAATCTAAAAATGCGTATGCCTCTCTTTTAAAGTTCGAAAACGGACTTTAGGCGTTTCGACGGCTCGGATCTCCAAAGTTTCTTGTCATATCTTGTCATATTGCGGTGTGTGTGAATAATAATCATTTGATGTTTGTATGAATAAGCAATTACTCGGATTAAAAACGCTCGTGACAGAAACGGCGCCTACTGGCGCCCCTGTCCGTTTTGTCACCTGACAGATCGATCTTATGAGGAGCCACCGTGATCTTTCGAAAGATCTCAGACCAAAATAGCAATGGCGAAGAGGAAGCAACGGACGGAGGACGCGACCGATGCCGTGGCCAAGGCCAGACCACCGAGGAAGTCGGTGGAGCGGTTCAGGGCGACCAGCGCGGATGATAAGGCTGCGCCGGGCGAGACGTCGACAAGCAAGGCGCCTCAACGAGAGCCAAACCAGGCGCCAGTACCTCTGTGTCCAAGCGCTCTGATGCTTACGAGGTGCTACAGGACGTCGAGTCTTCTGTCTCGCTCCCGCCCACGGAAGTCTCCTTGTCCCTTGATCCCGACGATGAACTCGAAGACAAGGTCGATGACAGAGACGTCGACCATGGCACACGCAGTACGGTGCCATGGCTCGCCGTTGTCCTTAGGTATTGACCCCGATTGACTACGCTAGAGGATTACGACGACGAGTTCGAGGAAGCTGGTGCGAGTTATGTAGCGGCAAAAGCGGTCATGGCCAAGATCGAGGCCGAGCGAAAGTGGCCATCGATGGTCCATCTACTCGACGTCGAACTCAAGGAGCTGAAGGCTCAGTTCAAGGGGAGCGGTGCTTTCAATGGCTCGAAGGCCAGGGGTTTACGTCTCACAGTAGGTGTCGTTGAGGAGCTCGGGCTCACACCTGGACTACAATCGCACTCGGTGCGTCGAGGTTCTGCGGGTCTGCGGCGTTTGCTATTTCCTCCGACAATATCAACATACAAAGGATTTGCAAGCGTGGGCATTGGTCAAGGGACTCTCTAAGCGAAGTATTGGTACATCAATAGCTATTACCTACCTTTCATCTCATGGCTCGTTGCGAACTACGAATAGGAACCACGCTACGGTACGACCAAGTAGACAAGGCGGCTTACGACATGTGGAAGTCTCATGTCATCCCAATGACCGAGTAGCAGGAAGCGGTCTTCTACGCCAACTTCAAGCTGATCGACTGCCTCGGCTATGCTGCGTGGTCACTCCTGATCGCTACGATGGCCTCGGCAAGCTTATGCATGAGGCCTTCATGGTCTAGGATTCAAAGAATGCTTTCAATTTACATTTCTTCACCAAGGTGACGTAGGCGCGGATTCGCACGGCGGGACTCCATGAGCGCGGGTTTGAAGCTCGGCGGTGCGAAGCGCGATCGGTGCATGTAGGCGCGCGGGTACTCGTGCGCTTGGCTTGTGGGCGCGCAGGTGCTCGTGTACTCGTGGGCGCGTGGGTGGGAGTGAGCACGCGAGAGTAGGCGCTCTCGAGCGCCAGAGGGCGCGCGAGCGCTAGTGGGTACGCGGGCGCTAGTGGGCACGCGGGAGTAGGCGTGCGGTGGGCACGCGGTGGGTGCTCGTGGGCGCTCGTGGGTGCTCGTGGGCGCTCGTGGGCACTCGTGGGAGCGTCATGGTCGCTGACATTCATTGGGGTCGGTGCCCGAGAGTCGCGGCGGCGCTGTGGCCACGGCCGGCATGTACCTGTCGTCAATTGCGTGTTCGCGAATGCTTGACTGGCAGGCCATTCACTCAGGTACGATTAGCTTGGCCAATGGCATGCTCTTGTCATTTTGTCACGGCTTCTGATTGGTCTCTCTCTCCTATACTTGTTGTTTGTATGCTGGTGTAATTATTTTTTGTCATGGCGGAGGCCAATACAATTTTCAAATGTGTTGGCGGCGTGACAAGTTGTCACCTGTGTTTTACAGTGCAAGGCTCTCCTCGACAAAATAGGTTTATGAAAAAGACATGCGTTAAATAGTCAACAGAATGAGCTAAAGATGGCGAGCGCCTAATATTAGCACCCTCCTGCCCACTATAGCAGTTGACATCCGATGCATGCAAGTGTGCGTGTGAACGGGCTGCACCAGCCCTTCTCGAGGGACCAGGTCACGAGCTGGGTCCTGCAGCCGTGCCTCTTTGCCGTACGTCAAACGTCTCGCCACCTCCTCACCACTTTATATCTCGTAGGCGTTTGTGGCCATCACAGTGAGCTGCCTCGACGGCCTCCTCGTGCGTTTGGCGCTTTTGACCTGCATCCGCTCAACGTGTCGATGTACTAGGCGCTATGGGTGCTACTGCCGTATGTCGCTGTGATGGGGCTCTTCTCCGTCTGTTGGTTTCTCTGCGAGAGCCGCAACCCCGCGGCAGCGACCGCCACCCGCAAGTGGTGCGTGCCAGTCCCGGCCAAGCCCATTCGCTACTGCAGCGCGTGCGCCAAAAACAGCCCCGGGCTCGACCACCACTGCACATGGTAGGACCGTCCTCTTACTTGCAAAATGCAACGGTGCGTAGGCTCAATACGTGCATTGGCGAGGCCAACTACGAGCCGTTCTACCTCTTGATCGTCGCAGGCACCAGCGCCACGGTGTACCAAGCGATTGTCGGTATTGTCGTCGCCACCTACTGGCTCGACGACGTTCTCCGGTGGCACCCGTCGGCGGACCGGGACGGCCTTCTCGTAAAACCTCTATTTCTGTTGTACCGAATGCGTCAACGGGTGTATAATTGCACTAGGCGGCGCTTTGGCTGCATAACCTTGTCTGCCTCGTCTTGGGGGCTGCATACGGCGCCCTCACGGGCTTCCATACCTACCTCCTCTATCTGCGCATGGGCACGTACGACTTTATCCTCAAGTACGGCATGCAGAACCGCTGCATTCGGCTGCTCAAGTGCCAATGCCTCTCGCCCACGCGACCACTGAAACCCACTGTACCGTCCAAAACCCCTAAGTCGCCGCCCACGCCTGCTAAAAAAGGGGACAGCGTCACGCCCGACACCGACGAATGGAAGCAAACACCATCTCGCAAGCTCGGTCCGGCGGCAAGTGCGACGATGGCGGCGACCAAAGTGGCGGAAGGACGCCGGTCGACCAAGATATCGGTCGAAGATGAGCTCGACGACATCCCGCATGTCCGGCGCAGTGGGTCCACCAAGTCGTTTGAGCATCTCTCGGTTCATGATGTTCAAATGGCACCGGCACCCGCCTCGGCCACGACCGACGACGACCCATCCATGGAGAGTGATCCCGTGGAGTAAAACCTCCGACGACGATGCGAGAACGTACGAGTAGTAGAAGCCACCTTCAAGTAGAAGAAACCGAGTCGAAAAAATTATCGACAACCTGTCCTTCTGAGAACTGCCAATGCGAGACGATTCGCCACAGAATGATGGACATGTTGAACCCACGGCGATGCTCGCAGTGCACTGATATCCGCGTGATTGTACCGGTGCGCGATTTGGCTCCAGCGCAACGACCCTCGAACGGGCCTCACAAAGACGATTGAAGCCCAAATGAGATGTGTCCGCGCTCGACGTCGCCCGTCCAAGGACCCAACCTTGGTTGTCCGGGCGAAGCTCGCTGCTCAGCAATGATACCGCACCGCCGACCTGGCCCTTGATAACGACGGAACCCAGGTGCGTCGAGCTGGTGCGTCGTCCAGTCCCTCGTGAAAAACGCGTTTAACCAAACAGGTGTGTGGACTAGACAGCCGCTAAATGCAATCCGTGTGCCACGTTGAAATGGGTGCAAGATACATGCGACGCGCCTGCGACACGGCGCAAAAGCAACGACCCGCTCCTCTCACGCTTTCATTCATCGATCCCGGAGACTCTCGGGTCCTTCATAATGGCCGCATTCAAAATGACGGTCGAGTTTGCGTGCGCCTGCCAGGGAGGCAAGGGCGACAAGCGAGCGCGCTGCCTCATACACTGCCTCGACACCCACGACGCACCCATTGCACGATGCAGCAGATGGCCTTGTGCTCGCCTAACGTTTCTCCTCGTGTCGTTTGCAGAATGTGTTGGCGCCAACGTAGAGGTAGCCTAACGATTTTGCTGCAGATGGCGCTCACTTCGGACGTTTCTCAGCATCGTCTCAATGAAAATGACACGCATGCAAGCAGGCAAGGACATCACCAACTGCGCACCTCTGTCGATGCTCAAAGAGCCCAAACAGAGCATATTGCTAGCTGCCATGCGCATGCACGCCAAAGACAAGGTGTTGGCGGTGTGTTCAGCATGCCGGAGGTTGAATAGAGACAGTATTGGGAAAGTCTGCGCGCGTGCCTGCGTCGGCTGGCCCACTTTTCGCCGCGCGATGGCCGACGTCCGTCCGTCCCTGGACTTGTACGAGCGACGCTCGGGCGTCTTCTCGTCTGCGTCGCCGTTCACCGAGGCCAGCTTTGATGTGACCCAGAGCATTCGGCTCACGGGACTGGGTGGTGCCTTGCGGCCGGGTGGCGCGCCCGCGTACACGAGCCCGGCCGTGCTCGCGCTCCTCGCACAGTACGTCGCGATCGGTCTGCTCTACGGGTCGCTCCCGAATCTCTTATACCCGTATTTTACGGGCTATTTTCACGTCCAAGGCCATCAGTACAACTCGGCCAAGACGCTCCTCACGCTCGGCTGGTCGCTCAAGGTGTTTGTCGGTATTCTCTCCGACTGCGTGCCCATTGC